TAAAATAAGACAGGCACAGAAAGAGAAATATTGCATGTTTTCACATATATGTGGGAGCTAATAAAATAAATAAATACATAAGTAAACAATAAAGCATCAAAAGAAGTACACAAGAATCACCATAATGTATTGAACTTTGAGAAAAGAAAACAGAAGTGTGGTTACCAGAGGTGGTAAATAGCAAGGGGGATGTGGGAAGGGAGTAAAGGGACCCCAAAATCGATTACATTGTGTAATGAGGAATGTAGTAATCACCCCTTTTGTTTATTTAAATTGATAAAAATTTTTATTGAATCAAAATTGATTATACATATTTTGGGGGCTCAACATTTGAGATATGTTGACCAAATCAATATTACTAGCATATATATTGTTACAAATCGCAATCATTCTTTATTCTTCTTGTCCAATCCATCCCCATCCCTTTCTTTTCCCCCCTCCCCTCTCTAATCACCCTAGATTTCTTCTCTCCCCCTGGAAAAATAATGGTTACTCTGTTGATTTGCTGCCCAAATTATCTGTCCAGTACTGAGACGCGCAGCCAGTTCCCCAAATACTGTCATAGAGCAGATGTCTCTTCTGTCACTATGAAATGGGCTCTGTGGAGACAGACATCCTCCTCCTTTATCTCTGCTGGTGACTCTCCTTGTGTCAACTCACTCCAGTGGCTGGCAGACAATCTGTGTGGTGGTTGTGGCATCTAGCCACCTTCATGGCAGCCATGATTATTTTGGTGGCTATGGTGGGCCACCCACATGGAAGAGATGTTTTTGGCCTGCTCCATGGTGCTGGCAGTGTGCCTGGTTGTGGAGACTGTCTGGTCCCTTTCTCCATACCCTGACTGGGCCCTGAGGTGCTGGCACAGGGTGCCTGGTTGTGGGAGGGGGTCCAGTCCCCTTCTCCATGCCTCAGGTCCCAGGGAAGGCCCTGAGGCACTGGCATGGGCTGCCTGGTTGTGGAGACATTTCAGTCCCTGGCTGCACACCCTGGGTGGGAACCAGGGTGCTGGCACAGTGTGCCTCGTGGTGGGAGGAAGGTTTGGTCCCCTTCTCCATGCCTCTGGCCTCTGGGCTGGCCCTGATGCACTTTCCCAGCATGCCTGGTTGTGGGAGGGGGTCTGGCCCCCTTCTCTATGCCTCAGGTCCTCAGGCAGACCCCTAGGCACTGTCACAGTGTGCCTGGTTATGGGAAGGGGGTGTGGTCACTGGCTGCTATACCCGGGTACCAAGGCAGACCCCTAGGCATTGGTGGCATGCGTGTATATTGGAGTGGGATCCAGTCCTTGGCTCCAATCCTTGGGTTCTTGGGTGGGGCTCTGATGTGCTGGTGGTGTGTGGTTGTGGGTGGGGTTACTGGCCCCTTGCTCCATGCTTCATGTCCTATGGTGGGCCACAAGGCATTCATGGTGTGCCTGGCCCAGAACTAAGTTTTTGTCCTTTGCTTGCTTCTAAGCTGGTGAAAGTTCCTTTGGGAACCAGGACTTTAGCTGTGTGATTGAGGTTAATTGCTGCTTTGCTGTTGTTTCCCTAGGGAAGACTTTTTGTGCAGCTCAGGCTTTAATGGTTGACCTTACAGGTACTTCCGGCTCTCCAGACAGTGCACCTGGGTCGTGTAAAAACTCTGATCTGGGCCTGAGTTCATTGAACTGCACCCCATGCAGTTCTGCATTCCTGAGCAGTCTCCTCTGAGTGGTCATGTTCTCATTGGGGGGTAGATTGTCCTTGCTGTGTCCCAGTGTTCTCCCAGTGGGCCCATCTCCCCAACCACCCATGCTCCAAACACCTCCCCTGGACGGGCCCCGCACCAGTCCCTTGTGGTGACTCACCTGTCTGAGTGGCTCCCCTTTTTCAGCTGTTCTGGCTCCTCAGTCCTGTGTGGGTCAGTGGGAACCCTGTTAGTGATCTTGCTGTCGTGGGGGCCACCAAAGTTCTCTTCTCCCCTTCCACCTTCAAGTAATTCCACCTAAAGGGCACAGCTGTGGCTTCTGCCAGCTCCTGCTCCATGTGCTCCAGCATGAAAGCAGCCATGGCCCAAAACACTGAGAGCAGTTTTTTCTTTCTCTCTTCATGGTTTCTCCAGTCTTCATGAATTCCATAGGTCTCTCCTCCTCTTCATCTGAGCTCCAGCAGCACCAGCTTGGCTGTTACATATTTATAGTTGTAAATTTGTCGATTTGTGGGAGTGACACTGGTGACCGTCTATTCTGCCATCTTGACCAGAAGTCCTCAACTAATTATCCTGATTTTAATGTCACATATTACACACAGGTACTGATATTCAATGCTGTACCCCAAAGATATGTACAATCAACTGTGTTGCAATAATAAAACTTAAAATGCTTTTTATTGTACCTTCACTTGTTTCTTTAATTCCCGTTATGGATATGCAGATTCTAATGCATGTCTTTTTTCTTCTCTGTAAGAATTTTTTTTTTTTCACTTTGCTTCCAGCACAGGTGTATTGGCAACAAATTCTCCCAATTTCTTTTGCCTGAGAAAGTATTTCTTCTTTTCCACAGCTTGATTTCATAGTGTACAGAAATCTGGGTTGTAGGTTGCTTTACTCAACACTTTGAATATTTCACTATTCTCTCCTTATTGGATTCCCAGGAGATGCTGGAAGTAATTCTTATCTTGCTTCTTTTTAAGCAAGATGTGTTTTCCTCCCTCTGGCTTCAGTCAGATTTTTTCTCTCTTTTTCATTTTCTGAAGTTTGAGAGCTACATATGAAGATGTAGCTTTTTGGCATTTATCTGGCTCTGTGTTATCTCAACTCCCTTGATCTTTGATTTTGTGCTTGATGTTAAATTGTGGAAGTTCTTAGACATTATTGTTTTAAATGTTTCTTCTATTTTTTCCCCTCCATCTCTTTTCTGCTGTTTTCTTTTTTTTTTTTTTTCCCATTACTCTTTGTTACAACTTTTGTCATTGTCCGTCAGTCCTCGGATATTATGTTCTGTCCTTTTTTGTCTTTTTCTTGTGTGTGTATGCTTTTCACTTCTTAATTTTTTGATGTATCCTCAAGCCAAGAGATTTTTTTCCTCAGCTGTGTTCAGTATATGAAGTTAATGAGAGTATGGAGCCAGTCATATCAAGGACCATAGTTTGAACCCTATACTGGTCAGTTGCCCACCCACCATGTATCTTTATAATATCTGTGTAATTATTTAAAGGAATTTCATTGATAGAACAATAAATATGTTGGATTTCAAAAAGGACCAAATGCCAAAAAAAAAAAAATAAGAAGAAGAAAAGTAAATATAAGGTGAATTATATTATTGGTAGACTTCTTAATACAGAGCTTTCCTTTAATGGTGTAATAAATTTAGAACATTTCGTTTTGTTCTTTACAGTCTTTCATTTCCTCTATCTTATGATTAACAATAAAGTGCTTCTGCAGACTCTGACCTTGTTCTTTTTTGGTTTTGATTTGTTTTCTTTTTATTCGGACTCTCTTAGGTTTGTTAACTTATTCTGAGGTCTTCAAGTAACATTGAAATTCTCATGCTTTCCTTGTACTGAATGTCCGCCCAAAACCTGACTCGCAGCTTGACAGTGTTAAGGTAGTGGGAAATCCAATTATGGTCATTGAAAGTTGGGGCCTTCAAGATGTGATTAGATTCTAAGATCATGCCATGAGAAATGAGTTAATAATGGAGGGCAGAAGTGTGCTTCTGAGGGTTTTAAAAGAAGAACACATGAGAGCTTAGCCTGTCTCTACTCTGCCATTTTCTGCCATATGAGACCACTGCTTCACTGTCGTCTCCACCACAGCCTTCCCCAGCTGTGTTCACTGGACCTTGGACTTCCCATCTTTGAGTCTGCAAACAGTAAATTTCATTTTCTTACAAATCCCCCAGTTCCAGGTATGTTGTTATAAGCACTGGAAATGGACTAACAAATTTTCAAATCTTTATCTTCAGCTTAGATCTCTATCACTTCAACTCTGGAATCATGTATCTGATTGCAATTTGGACATTCCCACAGATATTTTAAGTATAATGTGTTCAAGTCTGCTTTATTTCTGCCCATCATATTTTTCTGCCATTCTTCAATTTACACTTTAGAGTGCCACTACCTAACTAACTATGATTATGTAGAGAGCCTGAGAGTAAAACACTTTTTTATTTTCTGCACAGGAATTTAATACCACAGTGTCTTCCTGCATTTTATTTCCCTTTCTTTTTCTTTTTTGTAGTATTACATCCGTCTTCTGGATGCGTACTGCTCTGTGTTCTTTTTGTTCTTTTTTCTGTTTTCCTACTGGGTGGCCAGTCCTGGGATCTGAAACTGTGACCTGAGTGTTACCAGAACCACGCTCTCCAAAGTGAGCTAACTGACCAGACTTGCTCTATGTTCTAATGTAGCTAGTCTTCCATCATCCTGTTTTCTTCCCATCTGACTCTAAGGTTCTTTCCATTCTCTTTCTAGTGGATAGCTGTTAAATTGTAAATCTAGTTATGTGATTTTGGAAATACAAATCAGTTGCGTTATTTGCACCCTGTGGATTAAAAAGTGTCAGTGTTCAGTCTCATGCAGACACAAGCAATTTTTTGATATGTAGGAAGGAAATTTTGGAAAGCACTTGTATGTGCCTTCAGTTTATAAGTAATTAAAAAATAATTGTATATGCTTTACTGTTTGAAATAGACAAATATGTAAATGCAGAATCATTTCATAATGAGTTTTTTAAATAGTGTGTGTATTTGTTATCACAGCTCACAAGCATTCACCTAGACATGGTGCTGTGTGTAGTTCCACTACCATGGGGTATCTTCCTTTGGTCTTGTGATGGCAGTTTTGCTGTTGTCTTATATTAAGGAAAACATGTGGTTCACATGGAAGAGCTTAACGTCTTTGTCATTTCAGTGAATTGCAAAACATATTCCTGTATTTATCTTACACACTGGCTCAGTTATATATTTACAATTATGTCTTCATACCTGATTGTAAACTCCTTAGAGAACCATTTTATTCATACTTTTGTCACTAGCCACAGGGATGGTCCTTAGTTATAAGGTAAGATTTGGAATCATATATTTAGTAATTATTATATTATTACAGTAAGATGATATTCCTGCTGGTTTTTTTTCTCCACCATATGGAGTACCAAAAAGAAGCATCTTGTTTAACACATAAGACACACACACACACACAGGTGTGAACTCTGAGATTCCTGTTTTGTGACCCAGGGCTGGTGGCTTGAATTGAGATCAATGTGCCATTACAGGAACTGGTGTCATTTGAGGATGTGGCTGTGGACTTCACCTGGGAGGAGTGGCAGGACTTGAATGATGCTCAGAGGACTTTGTACAAGGATGTGATGCTGGAGACCTACAGCAGCCTGGTGTCTTTGGGTGAGTGAAACTCTTCAATAACATTCAGGAGGCACAGGTTTGTTTTTAATTAATATAGGAACAATTTATAGGGTTTTACGCTATTCAGTAAGAGTATATTTCATGAAAAACATGTCA